AATGAAAAAAAGGAATTCATATAGTAAAAATTATCATTACAGTTATCTAACCCCATAGAGCTATCAGTAACGCAAAGTTTTATCTCTGTTATGCATCTTTCTCAAAGTGTCCTTGCGACATATTCATGTTTGAGACTCACTGCACATGTTTTGTGATATTTCGCAAACAAATCTCATGTTTAGTTTATTAATTTGTATTAAGCTTGTAGCCCATCCCGGGAGCGAGCTTGGAGCGGTGACTACTTTACAACACACACAGGGACCATGGAGAACATAAGTAGCCCCCCTCCAGAAGGAAGGACAGTGTCAGCCCCAATTCAGAGATGATTGGAGGATCTACAGCCGAGTGATACACAAATAAGATACATTTCTGTTCATCGTTAAGGTACTTGAATGTATTTTTAAGATTTAACGCCGGAGTTTGGTGTCACTTTAATTTCAGTCTGTAGCAGACATTCAGAGGGCAATAAATCTACACCCATAAGAGCTAAGCAAATGCTTCTTCCTGCACAGAGGAAGATCTGTGATTAGACGATCCTGAGCTCTGACTTCAGGTCTTCTATACTGGAAACCTCAGTGTGGATTTCCATAAAGGGGCCCCCTTCCTACCCATGGCTCCATAGCAGCTGTCTGGGCTTCTATGGCTATTGTATGGACAGCACAGTGGTGTAGTGGTTAGCGCTCCTGCCTTGCAGCACTGGGGGTCCCTGGTTTGGATCCTGGCCAGGTCACTATATGCAAGGAGTTTGCATGTTCTCCCTGGTTAGCGCTCCTGCCTTGCAGCACTGGGGGTCCCTGGTTTGGATCCCGGCCAGGTCACTATCTGCAAGGAGTTTGCATGTTCTCCCTGGGCTTGTGTGGGTTTCCTCTGGGTATTCCGGTTTTCTCCCACAAAAGATATGCTGGAAGGTTTATTGGATCCTGTCTAAAATTGGCCCTCGTATGTGAGATAAGGACCTTAGATTGTAAGCTCCTTGAGGGCGGGGACTGATGTGAATGTGCACTGCGTAAATTGTCAGCGCTATATAAATACCAGTAATAAATAATATTGTTACACCAACACTTCTAAAGTTCTCAAGCAGCAGATGCTAGAGGCAAATGCGAGACTGCAAATAGAGTTTTTGCCAACGGGGAGAATGAGCAGCAAAAGTTTTACACTTATGGTCACCTATAGAATATGTACAGGAAGAGTGTCAGAGCTTCTTTCCCTTCCATGTCCCATTGAGCTGCAGCCTGTCTTCCGTTGCAGTTTGTCTGACAATGTTCGTTCCTCTTTGGCGCCCTCTTATGACCAAACTTGTAAACATCATCTGTCACAGATAAGATGCAGAGCTGATCGGTGCTTCTCTGCTTTGCATTTTGTTTTACCTGTTTGCTGCTGTGGATCTGCTGGCACCCGTGGTTCCACCAGCATGTGCCCTCCTCTTGCTGCACTGTTAGCAGCTACGGGTGTCGCCCACTTCACCTGAGGGTCAGGGGCGTCCTGAGGCTGGGTGACACCCGGAGTGGTAACCGAGTGTCACCCTGCCGAGACGTCATCGCGCACGCGCGGCAGTCTTCTGATACCTGTCCATGACAGAGCGGCCGACTTTTCAGAGGGGGGTGACACCAAAATGACTGTCAGTCGTTTTGGTGTCACCCCTCCAATGGTGTCACCCGGGTGTGGGCTGCACCCCCCGCACCCCCCTTGTGACGCCACTGCTGAGGGTTAATATACCCTTCCTCCATGCTACTTCCTGTATCTTTCTCCCTATTTAAATCCCTCTCAGACCAGCTTCTGGTTGCTTGAGCAACACTTGTTCCTGAGCCCCTTCCGTGCATTCTTTTCTAACTTGACTTGCTGTGGACTGATCCCTTGTGTACTCGGCTAGTTCTCCTGATTACGTTTGCCTGCTGCCCGCCCTAACCTTGGCTCGTTATCCAAATCGCCTGTTGCTCCATCCATCTTTCCGTACCTGCATTGTGACCTACGTCTTCGGGTGCTCCCCACACAGGCGGGGTGAACCTGTGGGTCGTGATCTGGGGTCAGCACACAGCTAAGTCCAAACTTCCGTAATGTGGTCCCTGGCAGAACACTGGCTGTCCCTTCCACGCCCTGGGGGATCCTGTTTCACCTGCTCGCCTGTGGGCTCACATCCCTAGGACCGTAACATCAACATCTGCAACATTCTGCATTCTGCAACCATAAAATCCTGGCAATTTCCTGTCTCAGAGTGATGATGCAACCCCAGCTCACTATTTAACCATCAGCTTTTCCATTAAAGCTCTGCTGTTGTTCCTGTTCTCCATGTATGACCCTGGCTCTGGCTGACTGATCTCCTGGATCCTGACTCCGGCTATTGTTTCCCTTCATCCCACTCTCAGTATTCCCTGACCTGGTTCGGCTGAATACCTGCTTTGGCCTCTGACCTCTGGCTTGACAACAACAACATCTTTGACTTCTTCTGTTGTTTTTGGCCATTTTTTTGTTGTTGTTGTTATTTTCCATAAACTCCTTTTATTTTTAACCTGCACGTTAGGTTTCTGTCTTTTTTTTTGGTTGCCTGACAAAGAGGCTCTGTACTGCCCTTTCTGGTGGCCCTTGTCTTAAAACACCACCACTTCAGTGCTCCCTGGGCCCCTGTGCTGATATCACTGCGAATAAAGGTAAATGGGGCTCCAGATTCCAACATAAGTCCCCCTCCATAACCCCTGCCTGCTTTATGGGGAAGAGGTCCCTGGTCTTTTTTTGGCAAGGGAAAGGCAGGAGGCTGGGTATGGTACAGGAATGGGGAAGGGAGGTGTCACATGCTTGTTCCCTTTTCTGACCACCCAGGATGCATTCCTGGATAAGGGTCTGGTTGGAATATTAAGGGGATTTTTTTAAAAAATTAATACAAAGCCCCCCACAATTTAAAGCGCTCCATAAGACATCCCCCAAAAATAAAACCTAGTGTCTTTTTTCGTGAAAAAAAATAAAATAAGACACTGTCTTATTTTCGGGGAAACACGGTATATGATCATAATGTGCACTTTGCGGATATCATCATGGACATTGCGCAGCTTTTCGCACAAATTCAATACATTCAGTTCAACTCATTTTCCCGAACAGGAACAGCAACCCCCGGCCAGCAATGGTGGCCGACACATTTGTCTCAGCGAAAGATCCGCAATTCTTACCACATAATTTGTTTTCACATTTCCCTTTGCACTTGGAGCATGCTTTCCCCTTTTTGTACGGTGTTTTCATGGTGTCTCTGTTGTTTCCCCTAAAGAAAGCAAAATAACACACAATTCATTTTACTGAAAGATTGCAAAATTGTTTCTCTGAATACTGATATAATAAACAGTGTTATTGGGTTCAGAAAAGTCCCAGAGCTCCAGTCCAGTGACCTTGTCTAGGATGAGATAATGTTATCAGTCTGCTGCAGATAGGAGGAAGCATTTCCTCAGTCTCCCCTTCCCCCAGTGATCAGTCAGCTGCAGGCAGGAAGAAGTATATCATCATCTCCCCTTCCCCAGTGATCAGTCAGCTGCAGGCAGGAAGAAGTATATCATCATCTCCCCTTCCCCAGTGATCAGTCAGCTGCAGGCAGGAAGAAGCATTTCCTCAGGCTCCCCTTCCCCCAGTGATCAGTCTGCTGCAGGCAGGAAGAAGTATGTCATCGGTCTCCCCTTCCCCAGTGATCAGTCTGCTGCAGGCAGGAAGAAGTATATCATCATCTCCCCTTCCCAAGTGATCAGTCTGCTGCAGGCAGGAGGAAGCATTTCCTCAGGCTCCCCTTCCCCCAGTGATCAATCTGCTGCAGGCAGGAGGGAGCATTTCCTCAGTCCCCCCTTCCTCAGTGATCAGTCTGCTGCAGGCAGGAAGAAGTATGTTATAGGTCTCCCCCTTCCCCAGTGATCTGCTGCAGGCAGGAGGAAGCATTTCCTCAGTCTCCCCTCCCTCAACATTGTAACTGTAGCAGGTCACAAGGTGAGAGGGGGCTGATCTGGGTGCAACATTAGTGAACACAGCCAAGAACTGCAGAGCCACCAGGATTTACATGACTGTGTTATCTCTGAGCCATCATCTCAGTCCAGGAAGTAGATGGTGACCCTGGATGATGCCTGAACAAAGATGACCCCATCCTTCTGGAGAGAAAAGCAGATGAAGGCATTGTCAGGGGGAGTACTGTGATCTCTGTGAGAGGTGATAAATACCTGGAGGGGTTACACTGACATGTTACTTAACATGCATGTGCTTAACATGAAGAAGTATATTTGATGCTAAGTCCACGTTAAGGTACCCCCCAGGCATTAGATGACAGCCTTCCTGTTGAAGTGGGAGACAAACTGAAGCCAGAAGGATGGTGCCATCTTTGCTCAGGCATCACCCAACATCACTGTGACGATGATGGGGGATTTGAGTCTGAATATTACAAAATAGAATTTGTTTGTTCCCCAGTCAGAGCACCTGCAGGTCTTCATTTAGAACTGACTGGCCCCTCCCCATTCCACATTCTACAGAAAGAGATGCTCTCTGGCTGTGATCTTTTATTGCCCAGTCCGAGTGACATTCCAACATATGTCTGCTAATCCTTTTATGGCTGTCGTAATTAAAGGCATGGCACTAGGCCCTCCATATATTACGAGTGGACAATTGATATCAACAATCAGGTCTGAAGAGGGGGTGACCCCGGGAACCCTCACATTCTCTCTAAGAGTCATAAAACCTGAGGTTGAAAATCAAGTTACATTTTATTAATTTGGAGTTGGGCGGGGATAGGTAAACTAAAGGTTCATCCTCCGCCTGCGTTCCCGCCCCAGTCCGGCCTAGGGGCTGGCTTCGGGACACCCCCTAAGAGGGGCTTATAAAATATTCTGTGTTGGCAACTAGAGTGGCTCTTGTTTTAAACATCATCGAGGAACTAGAAGTCTGAACATCGCAGAAGAGTTCCCCTTTAATCTTTGGACATTATCTGCTGGAAGTCGGCTTGAAGAAGAGCCCGGCAGACTTCCACTTTGCTTCTTGAACTCTGAACTCTGTCAGAACTCACCATTCCAGGACTGTTGAGTATTCTTCTTTTATTCCTTTTTATTTTGCTGTTGTATATCTATTGTGTCTCTTCTTATTAAATATTTTTATGTATATTTTCTGCACCGTTTCTTTTATTAAAGGACGATATTAAAAATCGTTAAGCTTATCTCTGCGCTCTAAATACGAACTTAAAGTATCCTTGCTCTCTGAAGAGCGCTACTGTATAGTGACTCCTGTCATATTCCTGTCTGAGAGGACAGCAGCATCACAGGCATTGTTTAAGTGTTTTGAATGGTCACAGCAGTTGCTGGGCGCGGTTTTGTGTTCTGAAAAACACACGGTGGCAGTGGAAGTTTGGTGGGTAAAAGGTTTACTGCGGAATTTCCCAACCCTGGTGACGATCGCTCTCAGTCTGCTGGCCTGAGATTGTGTCCTGCGAGCTGGGAAATCTCTGCACAGGGTGAGGCTGAGAGTGGTATCGCCACGTCCTTGTAACGCTCACGCTCGGTTCAGACTGGTGTATGGTCACGTGGGATTGACGTACAGCGGGTTTGGGCCGGGCGTACGTCACAATCACCACTTACTTCATCCTCTGAGATGCTGGTTTAGAGATGACATATATATCATGCTGAGATGGCCGCCGGCAGTCAACTGTGTGCATGATGACGTCACGCATGCGTGTAATGATGTCACACACGTGCGTGACGGCGTCAAAGTGTGTGACACCCGGCACCTACTCCGGGTGACACCCTGCCTGGGGATGCCTCTGATGGTGGGGACATTTTTATGGGGTATGGCAGGAAACTGGGACGGGGTGAAAGGTAGTTATACAGTATTAAGGATGCACCGATACCGATACTAGTGTCAATATCAGTGCCGATACCGAGTATTTGGGCGAGTAATCATACTCGACCAAATGCCCCTATACCTTCTCCGATACTGGAATTTCAGGTCAGAGGGAGATTTCCTCTGACCAGCAGTGCCGTAGGGGAACATGGAGCCAGCTTCCTGTACAATCAGGAAGCTGGGCAGCAAGTAATGACCCTCCTCCCGGCGTCCTGATTGGCTGGGAAGCCGGCTCCTTTGCTGATTGTCCAGGAAGCCAGTTTAACGGCCAAACAGCATCGAGCCAGCTTCCCGACCAATCAGGAAGCTGGGAGGCGGGTTATTACTGGTCCTCCGGCTTCCTGATTGGCCGGGAAGCCAGCTTGATGCTGATAAGCTGGAAAGCCAGTTTCCCGGCCAAGCACAATCAAGCCGGCCAGACAACATGGAGTCAGCTTCTCAGGCAATAAGATTGCCCGGGCAGCCGGCTTCATGCCAGCTGAAGCACCGATATCGATACTCGGTTTCGATGAGTACCAAAAGCAAAGTATCGGTACTCATACTTGATACCAAAAAAACAGTATCAGTGTATCCCTAAGTTATATGCCAGGCTTCAATCAGGTGGGTGGCACTAAAAGTGGGCTTGTCCTTTAAAGGCTTCTCCAGACGCTGTGGAATCTGCTTTTACCACTACTGCATTAGACATTAAAGAGGAACTCCAGGATTTTCAAAGGTTAGCCCTGGCGGTGGGGCTACCCCAGCACTGCAAGTGTCAAGTGCTTGTTTTGTCCAGGGGGCTAAAATAAAGAAAATATTCTCATCTGATCCTCAGTCCCGCCTGGTTGCTATACCAGTCCTCGCTGTCTCCCCCCCCCCCCCCCCCTCCCCCCCCCCCCCCCCCAGAGGTATAAGCATCCGTGATGTCCAGGTGCATTAGACAAGAGGATTCCAAGACACATATCGCAGACGGAGCAGAGGAGGAGGAAAGAGGAGAGTGCCATCCGCCGCAGGACCGAGGCTCAGGCGTGTGTATCTTCTTTATTCCATTCCATTCACCAAAACAAGAACTTAACCCTTGCAGTGCGGGTGGGAAGTCCCACTGCAAGGGTTAACTTTTAAAAATCTTAGGGGTTCCGCCTTAAACATTTTCTATTAGGACTCACGCTGGGCAGTAATGGCAGACATATAGGTGAGGGTAAGCCAGTTTTTCACAATATCGATAAGAGCATCCAATCAGTTTCGACGAGGCCCAAACAATCTTAATGAAGAGAGAAAAATTAGAAACAAGTACAGAAAATTGTTCAAATAACCCAGAAACCCTCATAAGACCCTCATAAGGAGGCAGAGCCATGAAAATTGTAAAAATGACTAAAATCAATGTAAATCCAGACAAACAGCTACATAGGCAGGTCTGTAAAGCCGAAATTCCTCCTCTCCCCCCTTCATCCACATTTAAATTGCATCCCTTATTAAACCCTTTCGCTGCCAATGCTTTTTTTTTGGGGGGGGGGGG